TTTTGTTAACTTGCACGATAAACATTTTGTTAACTTGCACGATAAACATTTTGTTAACTTGCACGATAAACATTTTGTTAACTTGCACGATAAACATTTTGTTAACTTGCACGATAAACATTTTGTTATTGTGCATGATAAACATTTCGTTAACTTGCACGACAAAGATCATGTTAACTTGCACAATACACTGATAGAAAAGTCATTCAAAGTATTAATTGGAATTATATTTTTTAATAAAAATCTTTAACATGAAACACAAACAATGTTGACATGAGACACACACAATGTTGACATGAGACACACACAATGTTGACATGAGACACACACAATGTTGGCATGACACACACAATGTTGACATGAGACACACACAATGTTGACATGACACACACACAATGTTGACACGAGACACACAATGTTGACATGAAACACACACAATGTTGACACGAGACACACAATGTTGACATGAGACCAATGTTCCTTTTAAGCTGCGCGGCCACGCAGCAATCTCACAGACGCCGCGCAGCAGTTTTGAGTACCACGCAGCTAATTTCCACTTAATTGTCTGTAGGCTGAAAATTTTGCGCACAAAAAATTGATGCTGTAAAAATTTGCACACAACTTTATGATTTTGCACACGAACCAACAAACCTTAGAGCAGCGGTTCTCAACCTGTGGGTCGCGACCCCTTTGGGGGTCGCACGACCCTTTCACGGGGGTCGCCTAAGACCAACTGAAAACACATATGCTCTACAGTTATGAAGTAGCAACGAAAATAATTTAGTTGTTGGGGGTCGCCACAAAACGAGGAGCTGTGTTAAAGGGTCGCGGCATTAGAAAGGTTGAGAACCACTGCCTTAGAGGGAACATTGCATGAGACACATAAAATGTTGACATGAGACACATAAAATGTTGACATCAGACACAAACAATGTTGACATCAGACACAAACAATGTTGACATCAGACACAAGTCAACGTTGAAAAATTTAAAACAAATTCTGACAAAATATTACAATGTAAACAATGATCAGTGGTCTATTTGTTATTGCCATACGTCCCATTGTCTTACAGCGGAACTGTATCACAGTACCATTTGAGTACCGCATCACAGTGCTATCTGAGCAATGTTCCCTTTAACTTTAAG